ACCAAAAGTTGATACAGTCTTATCTCGCAGCATAATCACCTCATCGTTCTCATCTGGATGTCTACGGAATATTAACATCAATATTTAAGATTTAACTTTTAACTATAATAAATGTAGTGCTATAACTATAAAGTAGTAAATATAATAATTAGTGTGATTGTCTTACCTGTTGTGATCATTATAATTATCATCAAACACTGATATTGCGAGTTGTTTAATGCGAGATGGTGATGATGAAGATGCTGATAATGGTCTATGTTTTTTACTGTTTGTAAAAGTAGTCAACTGAATTGGTTTATCACTAAAATGCTCATTTGAACTTGTTTGAGTAACCTGTGAAAATTTTAAATTTAAATTATCTACCACAGAATAAATCTCTATAACAATAATTTATACCATTATAGGGTGTTGTTTTTTGTATCTTCGCAAGACTCTATCACCCCAAGCCAATAAAATTTCCCAGTCAGAAGGAGGGTTTAAAAAACAATCTTCTTTGTTTAATAGTATTAAAATTCTGGATAAATCTTTTAAAACTGGTCTAAAATGAAATCATAAAGTACTGTAACATAAATTAAATTGTATAAAATAAATAAATAATATGCATACCGATATGCTTGAATTGCAGAATGTTGGCGGCTAGGCCCCCGAAGTTCTCGGACTTGTTTCCTTGTTTCATTTAACATTGATAAGAAAACTGGTGCATCAGGTCTTAACTTTTCCAACTGTTTAAAAAACTCCAATCTGTCACAGTCGTCACTTTCTATAAAATCACATTTTAACTTAAAAATAAAATTAAAAACAATACTAATAATAAAGTAAAATACCTTGACTTCGATGAGAACCACTAGTTAAGGGTCCTAAGCTAGGTGACATACGAGATTTTGATCTAATATTTGAACATTTTTTAAATTTGACTACCATTCCTACTACCAATAAAATAGTTGAGACTATTAGAAATCCTATGATAACACCAACAGTTATTGCAGCGATTTGACCAGACAATTTTATATTTCCAAATATAGTCTTATCTAGTATAAAAATAAAAATTAAATCAGTAATTAAAAAATGATTCTGTACATCATAATATAACATGCTTCATTTTTAATACACTAACCAGTTATTGAGCACACCCTGCCCATCTGATGATAATTTGTAGACCATGAGTATTCATACCCTGTTGGACAACTTTCAGCACACTGACCTGTAGCAACAATTAATACTTTCCTACATTTTTTGCAAAGACCATCGGTATCACATTTTAAACAGTCTGAATGTGTGTTGTTACAGTTTTCTATTGCACTATTACTATCTGCAAAAATAAATTTAAGTTCCTACAATTAATTATAAATGTTTAATCTTAATTGTAATGGCAAGACACAAAGTGGTACAATTTACTAGCCTGCATATGAATATAGCGCCTCGGCAATAATGAAAATCGAAACGATAACCAATTTGATTTTTCTTCGAATCAAACTCATAATTTTCGCTCATTTTCATTTCCCGAAATCTGGATGGTGAGCACTCATAGTCGGTGGACACAAACGCTTCATACCTCCATCCTCAAGTATTATAATATGGAAATTACTTTGGAGTTTGGATTTTATTTGCGACTTATGAATTACTGTAGTCACTATTATTTCATTACTGATTTCAAACGACTTCGCGACCGCTCACACAGAAACAACACTTCGAACAATTCGTATCTAGTTCGTCAATGATTATTTAATTACGTAAAAATTAAATAGAATAAACGTAGGCACAACGAACGTAAGTTACATCCTACATAAAATAATAATTATTATTATTATTATTATTATTATTCATCTCGCTATCTACATTCTACATGACAAGACCGTCTCTTTCATACACATACATGACACATGCAATGCAATTTATCATTTATCATTCCTGCACACCACTACACGTCCGTAGAACAATATTACGTTTAGTTACGTATGTATATATGTATACATATATATATATATATATATATAGGTAATGTTATTGTACGTGAGAGATTTGTTGTTTTTCCACATCTTCAGATTCCATTTCTCGAGCAAACCAGTTTCACCAGTTGCCACCTTTAGTGTTGGTAACACCGTGGGTCAAGTGTTGTCACTGTGGTAACACTATGCCAACACGTTGGCGTGGGTGGATAATCCATTGACATACTGAAAGTATACCATTATCAAAGAACAATACTCAATAGCAACAATGCTATAATTGTATGTGCGAGTTCCAGATTTAAAAATTAAAAATTCTTTAACAGCCCACAAGGCCACAACTCCGATTATTCCATTAACTGCGTTAAGCTTAATGTAAACCACGAAGACGAGAGTATGAATATTGTAGCTTTCATCATGACTAAATAATCATGATTTTAACATTCCCAACAAATGGCAGAAAAACTCATTGATAACGATTATGAAAAAAATAGTCGGCCTAAGCCGGCGTAATCTCGGGGGTGCAAAATAATAGTTTTGATTAGTTTAATTAGTTTTGGACCTAAATTGTCTCTATTTATAATGTATAACTAGTGCCAAACTTTTAAATATTTATAAAGTAATGATTGTTTTTCCTGCTTACGAAGGCTTAAAACTTACCTCAGAACAACTAGGGCCAGAAAGACTGTCTAACATAGCCATATGGCTAACATATGTTACAAATTGAACGCCTATGAAGTCGGCTACATAGTTGGACAGTTAGTTAGCTATAAAGTCTAGTTTTAAATATTATCTATACTGTGATTGAAGGCTATATAGAACAATGCATTGAACTATATATATAGTATAATTATTATTTATTATAAGTTATTATAATATTATAATATTCAATGGGATATTGAGATTCAACTCCGTTTCTGAAAACGTTCCGAAATGAGTCACATTGGGCCTATTTTTATGATGGGAAATCACTATCAGTGGATTTATTTATGTAATAATAGAATGATTTCGATAATCGAGATGTTATCATAACCCATATTCCTTATTTCCTTATACCATGACTAAATCAATTTCAAGTATCTACACTTCTACAGTTATTTGTTTTGAATTACACATAATGGGAAAATCGTTCCATGAGAAATCGAATGAATAACCAATGCTGTAAAAATTGATATTCAAACACTTATGGAAATTTAATTTGACTTTCCAGTAAATATTTTGTTTTTGATAAAGATATCAACAGACTTCTGAGCTACCTGCGAGGAGTCTTGTATCGACATTAGTTTCCAAAAAAAATCATAAAAGTCGAACATTTCATATACCTACCTATAAATAGTTTAACATGACTCAAAATATTTTGTATCTAAAATAATTTTTTTAATAGTTACACTAAAAACAAAATCTGTTTTAGGGGGAGGGGGTTAGAAGTAATAAATTACAATAGTTCTCAAAATGGCAGAAAAAAACAAACAAAAAGTTAAGGAAAAACTGAGATTTTTATTCAAAAACAGTTTTTGATAAAAATTGCGTAACTCAACTGAAAAATAATTGATACAGATGATTTCATTGATTATTTAGTAATTTCTATGCACCATAACATTTTCGGAATATTCAACTCTTTAATCTGTATTTATAAGCATAAGAACAATTCGAGTTTTATTAGTTTTTTTAAATTTACTGTCGATACAAAATGTATACTAAACTTAAAATTTTAGTACAGCGTTCCTTGCTGTTGTTACTGCATTAAAAAAAAAAATTTGACTGTAAATCCATATATTTTTTTATAAATGTGTGGAGTTAAAATATTGACAAAATTCATCAAAATTCAAAATTCACAAAAAATTTTATGGTTTGAAAATTTAATACACGATTCACCTTAAGTTTTCTTACGTTAAACAAAAAAAAAAATGTAATAGGAAAGGCAAAATAAATTTTTATGACCGTTTAAAGTTGACATTTTATTGGATATTATTATTCACTCGATTTTTCATAAAGTGAATTTCTTATTTTCAAAAACGAATCACTGCAGATACTTGAAAATTGAAATGTACACCACGTCACCACAATATGTTTATTTTATCAATTCATATACTTAACAACATTTTTAAAATACTTTGACTCGTTTGAAGCTGTTGACGGACATTTTTAATTTTCAATTTTATTAGTTTTTTTTTTATAAATATCAATAAAATTATATTTGTTGGGTCAAAAAGTGTGAAAATTCAAGGCTACTGATATAGGTACTGTTTCTATATCAGTTGAAATATATTAAAAATACTTAGGCATGATTTTTTTATAAGCATTTAAAGTTATAATTTTGACTACATTTATATTATTCGAAATTTACAAATAATTTTAAAATTTAAAATTTTCAACTTTTATAGCTAAGGTTTCAAAATTTAAAATGAGGTTTCACGTAAATAGATTATTTTGTAACCGAAAAATCTAAAAATACATAATCACAGTTTTTTTCTTTAGTTGTTTTATGTTCAAATGTGTACAAAATAAATAACGATTTAAGTTATTTTGTTGCAATTTGAAAATATCTTTCGTGAGTACTTGAAAATTTTAGTCTTTTTTGTATTATTATTATTATATTTTATACACAAAATTACTTTTAAAATGTATTTTCTAATACTTTTATCACAATAATATCATCACTAAATTACTAAGTCATATTATAGGCTGGCAGACCTTCTTCGCTCAGAATCGTTTTTCGCATACAATGGTTTTATATCAATATTTCATTGAATTCAAATTTAACCCCATCCATTACAGTGACCCACTTGTAACCTACAACTACAGCAAAGCGACATCCACTTACCCTCATTTTTCTTCTTTGGATTTTTGATTGACTTATTTAGTTAATAGGTTTATGGTATTTTGCCTCAATATACCGTAGGGCATAAACCTATAAAGAAATAGGTCTATGCAATTTTTAGTATAATATACACATTGATTCCGTAGTATTCGGCCTAGTAGCCTATCCGTTGTAGTCTTATAGCTCCAAGATTGGGTCTACGATGATAACAAATAATAAACCGGATAAGCTGATAACTTTGATAAACAATAAACATTACCCATTAACCATCATTATAATTTTAATAATTGACGTGAAGTTATGTTTTTAGAATTTAAAATGTGTAAGACTTCAAAGTTTAAAGACTACAACACGTAGTTAATTTGCCATTAACATGTCGTCTAATATTTTTTGGATTGCGGTTGTTGATTTACCTCCCCAGTCCAAGCCCCGTGCACTATCGATTTATTCATTATGAGTTTTTTATTCATTATTCATATGAGTTATAAATAATTTTGTATTTCATACGTTCTCAGCTTTCATTTGATATGCCCGCTTGAAGTAAGTCCCATGTTTATACTACGTTGATACTTTTTGCTTGAACACAAGCAATGGCGTCGGCAGACTTAATAGGCTTGAATAAAACTTGGGAACTTTCATTGTATGAACTTCATAGAACCCCACAAGAGGCAATCATAGATACCACAGAGATTGCCGTGTCCCCCCGTAGCTTACACAGCGAATTGATGTGCCCAATCTGTTTAGACATGCTCAAGAAGACCATGACCACTAAAGAATGTCTTCACAGGTATAAATGTTATTAAACTGTTGGAAATAAATCTACTACCTATTAATATATTGGCTTACAGATTTTGTTCAGATTGCATTGTTACTGCTCTTCGTTCTGGTAATAAAGAGTGTCCTACTTGTCGAAAGAAATTAGTATCTAAACGTTCATTGCGCCCTGACCCAAATTTTGATCTACTAATATCCAAAATCTATCCCAGCCGTGATGAATATGAAGCCCATCAAACCAGAGTGTTAGAAAAATTGAACAAAAGCCATAGCCAAGCAAATTTGGTACAGTCCATAAATGAAGGCATAAAAATTCAAACACAAAATCGTTTGCAGCGTACAAAAAAGAATCAAGATGAGCTTAACGAAAGTAGTTCTTCGTCTACACTAAAAACCTCTTCCAACAATCTTGGGCTTGGCAAAGATTATGTTACTAGAACAGTAGTTCAAGCAAAGGTAGCCAAAAAACTCAAATCTGTAATGATTTCTGAAAATGATGGTCCAGCATCTTTGTCAGTTGACAGATCAGATATTACTGAGTGTGAAGGCTCCTCTAGAGGAGTATCAGTAGATGAAATTGAACTTGTTTTTAAGCCTCACCCAACTGAAATGGGGAGCGATAATCAATTAATAAGAGTGTTGAAAGAAAATTCTGTGCGATATATTAAAACTACTGCAAATGCTACTGGTAAATATATTTTGATTTTTAATTTAATATTAAAAGTTCTTAATATGCAAAACTTAAAAAAAATAAAAACTTTATTATATCTTACTAGTTACTATCACTTGCTAAAAAGCAACTTATTACTGAAAAAATTAACTATACATTATTAGACCCAATCATGAGCTGAAATTTGGTGTAATTATTGTGGGCGAGAAAGGGGTGGCTTCTCTCAGATTTATTAATTCTAACAAGGCCACTTATAAAGTTTTACAAACACTTTTACCTGAAAAAAGTTCAAAAACAATTAGGTACCTATTCTTGTACATTTAGAAAATATTATTAATTTTAATTAGAGTAATTTCAAAATTAAAATTATAACAATGCATGTAAAATAAATTCTTTTAAAAAAAAGTAAATATAGGTCATAATGTATTATTATTAATATTTCAATTTGGATCAAGTCAACCTTTAAAATAATGTGTTACGTGAAGATTCAAGAAAGTATGTGCGTTAATCAAACTAGCCAATTCTGTATGTTATATTATAGATATTTAGGTAAGGGTTAGGGAGCTAAGACTTTTAAGGCTGTAATTCAAACTATTGGGAGGTTCAGTTCTATCAAGCCCACATCCTCCAGATTTCCTCCCATTGATTCAATCTACTTCCCATTTGTAGCTTCAAGTCTACTGTATGAGTGTCCCTTTATAATTTATTCTCTAATCCTTAATGTATACATTTAAGAGTCTATAATGTATACATAATAAAATTAAAATATTAAAAACTAAAAGATTTTCATAATATTTAAATTAAATAGTGTTGATGAAAATACATTATTTTTTTTTCATTCAATTTAAAGTATTTATATCAAAATAACTGAAAAAATTCTTACCTATTTAATATATTATTCCAAAAAAATGAGTTGTTCCAATGTATTATAAATATATTTTATAATTTATTAATTTTTATTTAGTCATAACTTGGTTAAGATGTTCATATTCATACTGGTTAGCTTATTTTAGTTATATTTTTTGTTTTAGTTGATCATTTAAGTAAATACTTAGCGATGCGACTTACATTAGATCTTGTTCCGGAGCTTCCAGAACGAGCTCTAAGCTTTTTAATCTATGTATCATCAACATCTGATCAATATGTTCCACTAAACGGAAATCAGACTTTGCGACAGGTCCACGACAAACATTGGAAAGTGAATAAACCTCTAGAAATGTTTTACTCGTTTAACTAAGTTTGCTAGTCTAATTTGTAAATTATAACTTTTTTACTCTTCTTTGCCTTTCAAATAGTTTTAAGAAGTTTAAATAAGAATAATATATAAGTATAAAGATAAGTTAATTTAGTATTAATGCCTATAACTTAAATATATAATTTATTTGCTTTAGCTCTAGTGTCTTAACTCAAGCTCCCTAGTCATTTGTTGTATGTTCCATGTGAACCACATGATTATTCTCCTGTCTTAATTACTCAATTTAACACTATTGGCTGAGCGTAAATGTTTAGCAGCTATAAATCTCAATAAAGGTCTCTTGAATAATAAAGTAGATTCGTCCATCCCTATCTCTTTGCTTTTTATTTTAATGTTCCTTAGTGTACTTTGAGGAGAACAGTTCCCTGCATACCACTAACTACACGTGTATTGAGCCTATTAGGCGGTTAATATCTCTCACTCAATGATGATCCCTTCTTTCTTATGTCTGATCATGAAATTTAACAACCATATTGTGTATATACTTTTACTAATTGTTTTCTATATTTCACTTTATTATATCTTATAAGATACAATTATTTTCTATTGTATTGTCATCTTGTAAACAAGGGCTTCGTCCTTGTATTAAATAAATAAAAAATCAACCACACTATGTAATTTTTGAACTTATACAATTATATATCAGTTCTACAATGATTTTTTTCAAAATATTAACTTAAAAAAATTTTAAAGTTTCATGTAATTCTATACTTATTGCTTCTAAATGAATTGCAATTGGTAGTTTGATAATTAATTTTTTAGTATTCCTTTTACTTATTAAAGGTTTTAAGAGGACATGTTGTTTTCTCTGTCTTACGAACACATAACATACCAAATTATTTGTTTAGCAGTTACAATTTTAGCTTTAATTAATCTATTATGAAATGTAAATGATATGTGTTATCTTGTTAGTTTTTACAATATTTAAATTGTTTAGATAGTTATGAGCATTTATAAATCATATTATAATACTTTACATCCTTTCAATTTCTTTGAAACCAGTCTTAAATACGACATTGTATATAGACTATGCTTGAAATTTAAAATATCATACAAATCCAATAAGATAACATAGAAAATGTTTTTACTTTTAAGTTTTGTAGCTGATTAATTCACTCTAATATTAAAGCTAAGACACAGTTTTAACACAGAGGCGAGCCCCCCTTAAGGCTAATATGTACATCCTCACGGGACACCCTTTTTATCTTTCAATTAAATACATTTTTTTTATAACAATATTAACAGTATATTTTATTAATGAACATTTTAAAACAGAAAAAAAATCAGGTAATATTTGACAAAATAAAACCAATCATACAAATACATTAAAATTTGTTTATAACTAGAAACCATTATTAATTCAGTCTTAAGAAATTTAAAATATTTAAAAATATATATTCTTATTTTCATTAATTTATGTATTTCATAATTCAAATATTGTACTTTAGAAAAATAATTGTAATTATTAATTTGAAAAAGAATCAATGAATTTCACCTAGAATTTATTACTAAAAATAAACTAATAACCATTAAAATTATTGAAATAAAAATTGTAGACTTCAAAAAAATCTACTGTCATAAATACTACAATCAGATTAGTTGAAAATTATATTTTAAAATAAAATATATATATGCAGTACAATATTTGCATTTATGTTTGAGCTTTAGCCTTTTCTTCTTTTAATTTTAGTTTAAAACATTTTGCTTCCATTTCTTCAAAATGTTCAGCAAATATCATCTTGAGGGCAGGATACATTAGTGGCAATTTGTGTAAAACATTTGGTGCAATCTGTAAATTTGTAAGAATTTTTGATTAATTTAATTGCGTGCATCAAAATGTGTAATAAAATGTTGTTATCAGGTATTAAAATGACGCTACTCCTGCATGTGTTCTCTCCTTACAAATACAAAACAGCAAAAACAAGTCATTAAACTTTTGCACTTTAAAGAGGATATTTACAGTGTTGTTTTTATTTTTTTTTGAAATCGTAACTAAAAAAAAAGTTATTCATGTTTCAAAAACTCAAAAATAATAAAGTTTTAACGATAAGATTTTTTTTAGTATTGGTGATATTGAAAAATTAAAAACAATATTGGCCAGTTAAATTTTTCTTCTTTAAAGTGTGAAATATTGGTTGCTACGTTTCGACTACAGCCTGAGTGGTTTTTAACCGTGAAATACAGCTTTTGCTGTTTAGCATTGAGACCACATATACAGGGGTAGCGTCCCCTTAATAGATAGTTAATATATAATTATAAAAGTAACATTTAAAATTAAAATTTTAAAATTTCTAACTATAAATACAAAAATATTAAGTTCTAAAAATAGTATAAGTAAAGATTTGTCAAAGTGTCAATTAACTGGTGGTTGCTGACTCCACTACCAGCAATCAAAACGGTTTTATTTTTGATAACATTCACTTACATAAACTGGATTCCCATAGATACAAGTAAAGAGCACCAAATAAATTTGTAGCGGAAGAAGTCACCAACCGCCAGTTTGTTTGACACAAGCTATATTTAGTTTTGATGTATTATTTCATTAAGGGGTCCAGGTTCCAGTTTTTCAAATTTTATGAAATTTTATAAAATCTGGAAACCTAACCATTAATCATTTATAAAAAGACTATTGAAAATTGTGTTTAATGTGCCTAATGCAAGAAGTATTCTTCTTTCTAACAAGAAAAAAAATTGCGAAATCTTGTTACACCACAAAGCATGAGTTTTTCCTGTCAGGGATATTCTTTACCAAAAAAACAGATCCTTTAACTTGGATTACAATAAAAATACAATATTAGTATTACAATTTTCGAATGTGTATGATTATTGAAATAAAATTATTAATTTTTGAAAAATAGCATACATAAATTTTTAAGATGTCAGCTCCGTATCTGTCGGCAAATTTTAACTTAATGTTTTACCGTCATCAGAGAACTATTATTTTAGGAGCATCAAATATTAACAGAAATGTATAACTTTTAAATTCTGTTATTTTTGCGTTCCAAATTTCCAACATATTATAAAGTATTATTTGAATTAACATAAATATAAATTAATATTTAAGATATGAATAATACCTCCATATTGTCGAAAGCTATTCCAACATTACTTGGAAGATCATTATTTGGCATATATGGAATTTTAGCATAACGTTGACTAAAATGAGTGAGTATAGTAAATTTAGCATTCATTTTTTTGCCAATATTAATGGCTTGGGACATAGTTGAATGCATTTTCCGCCTAGCTTCAGACACTAACTGATCTTCCATTGTAGCTTCATGTATCAAAAGATTACTATTCTTTCCTAAAGAAAAAAATATTTATGTAATTTAAACAGTTTATTAGTATAATTATAAGGAAACATTCATAATTTTATTATATGTTTTCACCTATCTTTAAATTAGTTTGCTATCATAACTATTATTTTTCTTTTACAAACCTAATTTGACTAATGAATCACAAGGCATTGTATCGCCAGAATATGTGACTTTCCAACCATTTATATGAGTAAATGATACACCAAATGCATTAGGGCAGTGTCTTACTAAAGTAGTTTCTATGTCTGACATATTAGTTTGTTTTAATAAATCTTTTATTCTTAACTTGGTTGATGATTCAAAATCCTAAAATATATTAATATCATTGTCAAATAAACTTTATTTGATGTTTATTTTAGTTATATATTGCACTTAAGTATTTAAGCATTTGTAATTTACCAAATCTAAGTTAGACACAATTTGAAATTCTTCATTTAGTTCTGAAAATCTTCTGTGATAAAAGTTTAACCAAGTCATAATTTGTACAGGTGCTAGTAGATATATTGGCTGATTCAGTTTAAGCAGTTTATTTGCTTTCATTTTTTGACGCACACTTAATATTCCAATTAAACCAATATGATGGTCTGCATGTAAATGAGACACATAAATAGCTTTTAAGTCACTCAAAACTGTTTCAGCTCCAGTTATACCAAAGTGTCGTACTAATTGTCCATAAGTTCCTTCTCCAGAGTCTAACAATACACATTCATTCTCACTAGATAACATTTAAAAATAATATTTTTCCACACAAAAAGTTAACAATTTCTTACCCAGTATACATAAGAATACCACTAGTATTTCTTGTTTTACTTGGTATACACGAACCTGTACCAAGAAATGTAATTTTAGGATAAATATTAGTATCTGTAGGAGAAGCATTTAAAATCTCCAGTTTTACTTCAGCTAACTTTTCTTTAAAACCATCAACTTTGAATGTTTCTGCAATAAACTCATCAACATCTAAACTTAATGTGCCAGTCCTAAATTTTGTTTTAGTAAATTAACATGTATTTTACTTAGAAATAGTATGATGTTTGCTTACCTGTCTATGTATTTGTTTGGTCTCAAATTAAATGACAGATTGGTTTGCCCATTTATCGTCAAAGAATTTATGCTTGGATTTGCATCAATCACTTTTTCTTGATAATCGATAACTAAAAAAATAAGACATTTTTAAACTGTCTACTTTGATTGGTTCTATTATAGACAAATAAATGAACTTTTTACATTTTTATAACAAAGTTCAAAAATTGAATTAAAGGATTCTAAAAAGGTTTAGTGCAAAGTCACAAATGATATATGTCGAAATTGTGAATTATTTCGTACAATATAGGCTGACAGATAACAGTAGTCTTCTTATTTTCATGGGGATTTAAGGAGTTTAAGTAGTCAATACAGGAATTATTTAAAATTTGTGAGCAAGTGTTTCAGAATGTTTGTTGTGTTTGACTAAAAGTATGTTCTTTCTGTTAATTCTACCAATCAATCTCATAATGTGATAATACTTCTGAAAACTGATCTGAATTTGTTATGTGTATTTGAGATCAATCAGTCCACATTTTGAGATTCCTGATTTCAATTCTGAATAATCAACATGTACAATGTTTTTAAATTTAAAAAAATTTGATTCAAGTTTATAAGGGGAAACATTGGGAGAAGCGGTCTAATCTAGTACACATAATAACAAATTCAAATAATTTTTTCAAACATCTTATCATATCACTTGGTTAATCAGTTGATTGGTATGTTTCAGTTAAAATAACTGACTTCACCAATCCCCTTAAATCAATGAATACAACTTGAACCTAATCTCACCATAATTGACTACACTTCAAGTTATTACTTCTTACAAATACTATTGACATAGGTAGCATAACATTTAGATTATCAAAATATTCTCACTAGGAATTCCATTGTCTTTTAATAATGGATAAATATTTTCATCCAACATATTCAGCTTATATTGTATTCTATGTATTGCAGTACTACCCAGACATTTGTTTTCATTATTTAATAATAAATGGTATGTTTCAGAAGGAAATAATTTCATCCACGATTGATACCTAAAAAATATAAATATTTAAGTTATTACTTTCTTCAATCATATTTGAATATAGGGCTTTAACTTTAATTGAATCACATTTTAATAATTGATTATACTTAGTACCTTGGATCATTTCGCACATCCTGTGGAGTAAAATGAACAACCATAAATGCAATATCTTCATCATTAATTACACCAAGTTGATGTTTCGAAAAAATTGACTCATTTAATAATGAGTCAATATAATCTTCACTTGGGCATTCAACAACTAAAACAGATTATACTGAAATAGTC